CCAGTTTTCAGCCAGTCAGAGAAGCATCCGTCCCTGGTACATTGCTCAATCCCCAGGAGGGAAGAGAAGCCAAGTTCCTGTTCTCATTCCTTCCTGCAGAACAAGGAGAAAAAAGCTGCTCTTGGGCAAGAATCCTTTTAATTTTTGTTCAGACTCCCCCCTGCGCTGCTGGATAGCGCGAGGAAGAGACATGGAAAAGCTCATGCATCTGGTCTTGTTGGTCTCCTTATCAGGTAAGAAAGCATCCAACTCCTTTTGTGTCGGGTTGAGGGGTAGGCGAAGGTTTGGAGCAATAACTGGCATTGTCCAACATCTAGCATGAGTCATAGCAGGGACCATGAGGCAAACGCTGCACAGGACGCAACGCTCAGCTGCTTGTTCTGATGATTCCAGAGAAGATGATTCCATTGTGAACGTTCTTAAATGGACCCACCCCCACAATTATCAGTGGGAGTGCCAATAAAAGTCAAAGTAGATAGCTATCTTTTAAGGGCAAGATTAACTGCAACAGGAGTTGAGGGAGCTCAAAACTTTGCAGGCGGTGTTCTGCGCCCTGCAGGATCCAGCTCAAGATTATTATCCTCGGCACTGGACTGAAGAGATGTAGATTCTCTGGGCCTGGTTCTCCACTGTCTTGTGCCCTGTGCAATAATTGCACCTGTGCAAAGGGACCATCACATGCAGGTATAGTGATTTGGTGCCATGATCCACCCACTTCGCGTTCGCTGTGCAAATGACAACGTAAGGTGCAAAGCAATGGAGAACGAGCCCGCCTCCCTCCCGACCCATGCAAGTCCCAGAACATGTCTGGCAAAGAAGCCACAAATAGTCTTGAAGCAGCAGATGGAGTCAATGGAGCCATGGTAACATGTTTAGCGAGTGAACATGCGAACCACAGAGAATGTACAAAGCAGGAGGAGGGGGGAATGCATCCCATGACTGGTGTCCCTAGCCTCTGTTTGTCAGATGGTGGTGATGGATGGCAGGAGAGAGATCACTTGATCATTACCTGTTGGATTCACGTCCTCTGGGGCATCTGGCATTGGCCACTGTCGGTAGACAGGATACCAGGCTGGATGGACCGTTGGTCTGACCCAGTATGGCCGTTCTTATGTTCTTATGTAGAAGGAGCAGGTAGTTTGGGGTGGGGGGTGAGAAGGGCCTCCCCTAAACATAAGTCACTACACTACATGCTCTTCAGCAGCTGCATTCATGGTTTCATTCCCTTCCAGAGTTTGTGTTCTATACTCTTGATTTTTTCCGAAGGACGCTGGATATTCCAGGGTGGTGGGCTGAGGTCTGTCAGGGAACTTGTGAGTCAGAGCAGGAAACATCTTGGAAGAAATAACAAGCGCCTTTAACTGCACTCTCAGCAATCCAGTTTGTGTGACTATTTTACATGCAAACTACAGCAGCTACAGGTCCTAGTGGAGCAAATAAGGCTTAAGGGAACAGAGACACCTCATCGGCACTCAGAGGACCAACCCTTAAATGTGGGAACTCAGGGTCTTTCTCTCCAGAGATTCCTGGGGAGAGGCGTTTGGGGGCAGGGGGAGGGAGAGCGAGGCATGAGGATATCAGGCTAACCACTGGAGATCATCTCATGCATCTAGGCAAAATGGAAAAAATATAGGGGGAAAAATTCTATCTAGGTACTTATCTGGCCTCCGTCACAACTGAGCACCTCACAACACCTCCGGGAGGCAGGGAAGCATTAGCCCCATTTTACAGATAGGAAATTACAGCACAGAAACGTTAAATGTCTTGTCAGTGGTCACAAGGGGACAGTTTATAGCAATGCTGGGAATAAAACCAGGGCCTATCTGAGTCCCACTCCACTGCCTTAATGTCAATACCATCCTTCCTCCAGCCCCATGTACATCTTGTCAGTTTCTTCCCTTCTTTTTCTATGGAGGCTGACAAACAAAAATTCCAGCTCTCCCGTGGAGGAAACTGGACCGGACTTCTCTTCCTGGAACACCCTGGAATAACCAAGGACCACATTACTTTGAGAAGGATACCTGAAACACAGTTCTTCTGCCTCACTCTCCTATGATATCCACCCATTCAAAACCCCTCTGCCTGGGAGATGGACAGAGAGAAGCTGAGCGCCTATCCATTATGACTGGCATCTAGCTAGCGGCATTTATGCCATGCTCACCATCATTCTATGGGGACTTCACGTGGGAAATAAGACACAGGAGTAGATGAACATCTGCAAGGAACAGCTTTTCCTCTCCACCCAGGCAGTTAGAACTCTCATCCTGGTTCTCAACCTTCTCTTCTCTAGTCTTGGCACATGCAGTCTTACCATCTGTCTGTCCCACCCTGTTTGTCTCTTGGCTTATGCTTAGATGGTCAGTTCTTTGGGCAGAAACCATCTTTTTGTTGTGTTTGTACAGCCCCTAGCACCATGGGGCCCTGGTCCATCATGGGGGCTCGTAGGTGCTATCGCAATATACATCATAGTAGATGCATGTTTTACAAGCACCAACTCGATTTCCATTACACGTGGGCCACAGCTGCAAAATCTGGATGAGTGGCCAGACTTTCCAAAATGATGAGGTGTTTGCAACCAACATTCTGGCTTGGGCTCATCTGTATGATCCTCAGTAATAAAGAACAAAGGAGGAGGAACACAGATAATATACGATCTGTCAGCAGAATTGTTTTAAAAGATAATGTCTCAGAGTTTTGCATGGGACATTACCAACCCTAAACTGGCCGTCTCTGACCAAGAGTGAAATAGCAGGGGCTGCTTCGGGTCAGAACTGGGGTGCACTGGGGTGGGGGTGGAACCCCAAGACTACAATAGCGGGGGCTGCAGGTCAGGACTGAGGTGCATTGGTAAAGCAGCACATGCGACGCTCGCAGAACACCTATCCGTCTTTATGCCTATTTTTTTTAGCTTAACATTTACTCAGAATATTTACAAATAAGAGAAGATGGTGCATCTTCCCAAACATTGTGGCAATCTCAATCATCTCAGGACAGGCGGCTCTGTGAAGCCCTTATAACATCCATTCCCGATGTATTTCCGGCTTCAGTTCTACTTAGAATTCTTCTGCAGCAGTTGCTAGTGACTGAAAAGCCTCCACCTAAAACACAGACTCCCCAAAATAACACACAGCTTCCTTCTAAAAGTATAAATATCTCAAACAATGCGGCCCCTTTGCATCTGCAGCTTGAAGAGAAACAGAAATGAGAAGGAACTAAAGAGAAACAGGAAAATAGTCAAAGATCAGCTGCTCATAGGGCAGGGCTAGAATTAGCAGTACCCCAGGGAACAGGGCAAAAGGAGATTTCTCAAAACCACGGATGTTAAAAGGTCAGTAACAGGACTAAGAATTAACCCTCCAACCACACAACTGGAGACTGGCGTGTGCCTGTGGATCTGATTCCTTTATACCAAGACCCCTTTGCACCACTCTGGCAGCGTAAAGGGGCCCAACAGGGTTGTGAATTCTATTTGCATACCACCAGAGCAGGGCTAGGGGCCACTGGTGTAACTGCCAAGCAGACTCTGTAGGTTTAATCCTCCTCAGTGTCCAAGGAAAGGCCCAGGTTCAATTTCTGGAAGTTTCTTGCTCCCCGGCCCAGCAATGTGATCAGCCCCTGGAGGATGGAAGTGCCTCACGTCACTGAGGTCAGCCTGGAATATCTGTGGTCACTTCTGACCTTCAACTCTATCACTATGGAGTGCGCCATGTGACCGGGCAAGGTGAGGTGTTGATGAGCTCTGATTGGAGTTCAAGCAAGGCCATGTAACATTCAACATCATGCAAGGAAGAAAGTGTGGAAGGGGAAGGCTTTTGTGGCATTTCCGGAGACAAATCCTTCCACTGGGGAGACAATATCTCCTCCCTTCTCCCCCACAGGAAAACCCAGCTGACTGGGGGTACGCAGAGGTCCTGCAGGGGATACATCATCTTATCTAGATATTTGCCTAGTTTTACAACAGGCACTAGCAAAGTCAGTACAAATTAACATGTCATACAGACAATGACTTGTTTATACTTTCTATGTACTATACACTGAAATGTAAGTACCACATTTATATTCCAATTGATTTATTTTATAATTATATGGTAAAAATGAGAAAGTCAGCAATTTTTCAGTACTAGTGTCCTGTGACACTTCTGTATTTTTATGTCTGATTTTGTAAGCAAGTAGTTTTTAATTGAGGTGAAACTTGGGATAGGCAAGACAAATCAGACTCCTGAAAGGGGTACTGTAGTCTGGAAAGGTTGAGAGCCACCGATCTACACCGCGTTGCTACCTCCAACAGAGATGAGGAATTACAGGTCCAAGTTGTCCTAGTGAGGACAAGGGAAGTGTGTGTGTCAGAGAGAAGACGATTGAGACCTAAGTCGGGTTTTCCTTTCTCTCCTCCCAGACCTGTGTGTGGCAGAGAACATCACAGTGGTGTACGGAATGGAAGGAGAGACCATCTCCATCAGCTGTGCCTACAGCCCCAAGGAGAACAAGTGGAGAGAGAAGAGCTGGTGCAAACACGTCAATAAGACTGAGTGCCAGCACGTGGTCAGCGCTCACCGCTTCTGGCTCCAGTTCCTGAAGAAGTGGAACGGCAACACTTCCATTGCTGACAACATCCATACGGGGGTCCTCACGGTGACCATGAAGAGACTCCAGAAACAGGATGCAGGGCTGTACCAATGCAAGACTGACTTCTTAGGAGAAGCAAGGACCTTAAAGAAGGTGAAAGTGGAGGTGCTGGGAGGTAGGTCCCCAGGCTGTGGTTTCAAAACAAAAGGATTTCATGCATTTTAATTTTTTGCATTACAGTAGTATCTACAGACCCCAGCTGAGATCAGGACCACACTGTGCTAGGTGCTGTACATACACAGAGGAAGAGGCACTCCCTGCCCCCAGGGGTTTATAATCTAAGCAGACCAAGGAAGTGCTGCTATCCTCATTTTATAGATAGGGAATTGAGGCACAGAGAGATTAGGTGCCTTGCCCAAGGTCACCCAGGAAGAGTCTGTGGGCAGATCTAGGAACTCAACCCAGATCTCCTCATTCCCAGTCCAGTGCTTTTATCACAAGACCATAGTTCCTTTTCTGTAGTCCTTGTGCTAATGCAGGAGGGGTGAGCTGAGGGGCAGAGCACAGCCTATAAAGT